TGGGCAAAGAGCTGCAGTCAGTAAGGGAATGATCATTGGCCGATGTTTCTATGAAAGGAAATGAGCCGTAAAGAAAAAGATGGAAACTAAATGTTGAATGTAGAAGGTTCGACTCCTTTATTAGTCTTGATTAGGTATTTATAGTGACCCTAGCTTGTGGTGTCAGACATAGAGGAATTATGATTATTTGAATATTAACGGGCTGGATAAATCTAATAGTCATATATTTAATTTTGTTCTGGTAGGTCACGTAGGCATGTTAAAGGTTTTGCTTGTACACTGTATGTAATACCCCATAATTTTAGTTAGTGACCAAAATGAATAAATTGAAAGTTTGGTGGCTATAGTATAAGTTTGGGAAAAGCCTAGGGACCATAATAATAATTTTCCAAAAATAGGTATTTTTATATCGTAAATGAAAAGTTTACCCCCAAGAATGACGTTTAATTGTTACTTGGATTTTTAGTATGAAATTTAAAATCGATAAAATATTAAAATTTGAGAAAAAATCGAATAATCTGATTGATCAAATATTTTGAGATATTTTGTTAGATGCTAGAGCAAGAGCAAGACCATTGATTTTCCATGTTAAATCTAAGTTGATGGATGAAAAATGATAAGATTGTAAGTATAGAATTTTACAAAGACAAAAGTAGTAACTACCAACTCCATGGATTAATCTTAGCCTTTGGATAAAGATTTTGGCATGTGGTATGTTTTGGATCATTAAATTTTGAGGGAAAATAATTATTTTACATTAAAATAAATTTAAAATTCATTTAATTTTATAAATGACAAATGGCTATAATAAATGAATTAGAAAACTCATGAAAGATTTTTCATCTTCTCCCTTTGTCTCCATGGATTTATAAGGTAAGGAAAAAATGTTTCAATTTGATTTTCAAGCATTTTGATTAAGATTTAATGTGAAGCCATGAATTCACTTCAATTTGGTACTATTAATTTATGGTTTTAGCTAGTATGAGCTATGAAATTGGAAGAGAGAAAGATTAGGGTTTATGGTTTAAATTGAATTAAGGCTTGATTTTAAAGTAGTTTATTATATATCTTTTCCATGCTTGAATCAAGATGAAATTCATGGATAAGTTGATATACAAGGTTAGGCCATTAAGAAGAAAATTAGGGAAAATTATTCAAGCTTGTTTTGATGTTTATCATGGAGGATTAAATGTTGTACAAGCTTTAGAATGTTGTTTGAAGTAAAAATTCAAGTGTGAACACACCATGGTATATTTGGGTATTAAGGTTTTCAATTGGGGGTTTAAATTTAGGTAAAATTGAAGTGTTCATGTTGTTTGCCATCATCTAAGCTTTATTTTGATGGTAAATTTATTAAATTTAGAATTGAAATGAGAAAATCCCTAATTTGGTCCTTGAAATCCAGAGAGAGAAAATAAGGTTATTGTAAAATTTTGTTATTGAAAGTTAATTTGAATTATATGAAGTGTAATTAATTTTGATTGAGAAACAAAAGAATTTTTAGAGAATTCTTTATATTTGTACACAAGGTTAGAATGGATTCTAACATGTGTCTTTGATTTTAGTTGTTGTGTAATTGTTGTGTGTAAACCATCCAAGTTCAATCAAGGTGAAGTGATTAACAAAGGAAAGGATGTCAATTCTTATAAAGCTCTCGGAAGACTACATTTTGGTCGATATTTAAAGTGTCGAGGTAAGTGCATTTTAGGGTGTATTTATGTTAAATCTAAACATTAGCTTACAATGAGCCAATAACTAAGTTACTATGGTAAGAAGTGACTTTTGAATATTATGTGACTTTTTTACTCATTCATTTAAGTTTTCATTTCAGAGACTAATAGAATTAGTGAATAAGCTAACGATGCAAAATAATGAAATCTACCTATATTTTATGATCTTGACAGTAGATTTAGAAAATCACTAGAAATTCTATAAAAATGATTAGAAGGTGATTCTTTATACCGTTGTATTCTTATGTCAATCTAATTTTATGTAAAATAAATGGAGATTGATTTCAAAGTGTATATTAGAAGATATGATTTTTTTATCGATGATAGATTAGAAAAACGAGTAACAAATTCTACTCAAAATAGATTCTATAAGTTCGATTAGAAAATTCACCATAAATTCTAGAAGTTGATCTAGAAATAGTTTTCTATATGGTGCATATGCATGCCATAGAGTCCAACAACATGTTGAATATTTGATTTAGAATTATAATGTATAAAAGACACTTAATGCATATGGTGGGCACGACCTTATGTATATTAACACTTTGGTGCATATTTTGGTTTATATTTGGGCTATGGTTTATTGATTAATAAATGATAAACAAGTGAATAATCTTATGAGTATTTGGATTGAATGACAAGTATATTAGTAAGAAATTTTATATGTGGTTTATATCAAGTTAACATATGGTAACATGAATGAATTACAGATGAAGTGATCATAATGCATTGAGAATTGTTATTTATTATATTTATGTGTTGTATTGAGTATTGTTATTTATTATTGAATATGAGTTAGAAATGTCACATGAAACATTTAAAACATTCTTTTATTCAAAATTCAATAAAAATATTTTTTTAATGTCAAACATTTAAAATCAATTAATCATAAACAATTTAATTACGTAAATTCAAAAATTAATATTTAAAAAAAAATTTTGCATTCGTTTTCAGACAGCGACATGGCAGTTTAATACTTTTATATAAGAAGTGAAAGTGCATAAATAAAAATTTATCTTTATGCTAATAAAATATAAATTCATCTTTATGCCTAAAAACTGCAGTTTAACTATCACATAGATAATATGCACTTCAGTGCCAGACAGATGCATATGTACTGTAGAACACGACATCACTACACAGAAAATCAGTAATCAGAATAGTAGCTCACAATGTAAAACATCGTGAACCCCCATAATGCACATATAGTGCCACATAGAATGTACACGGATGTACACATACAAAATTACTTGAGTCAATGATAATCACTCCATCTCATGGCATACCAATTGTACTAATGACTCAATGCACATACAATGAGCTTTTTATCAAAATTATCTCATTTAGTTAACAGAAATATTCATAGATACTCATATAACAATGCATTGGGAAGTTCAAACCCAAATCATTCAAATATCATTTAGTAAAATAGATATAAAAATATATAAAAAATATCAATATCGATACTTATATCAAAATATTATAATACGATTCAAATCTTTTTCTTTTCAAATCGTTCGAGATTGACTCATCGCAAGTCTTCCTCATATTATATAAAATAATATATGTAAGAATGCACTCATCTGATATGTCTCACTAGCAAGCCTTTCATTACATGACGCCACGTAAGGAAAAGACGCAGATGATGCAGAAAGGATGTTATATCAATAAAAAAATTTGAAACGGTACCTGATAATTAATTAATGTCAATATAATTTTTTTTGTTGTTGGTAAAAACGCCTTAATCTTGTAAATATGACTAAAAAAGACGTTCATCTTACGGCTCTTTATTAAGTCTTGGTCTTCGGGCCTTGGATTGTGCGAAATTAAACAATGCGACTTGGAAACACGATGTTTAACTTTAAGACTAATCAACAATGTTTAACTTTATGAGACTTCGACTAACCACAGATAATGTCCTTTTTCCACGAACCGTGGGTCCGAGAGATGTAGACTGTGTGTAATTAATTCGTGACTAAAATTGAAATAATAATATTCTCAGTTGTCGGCTCTTACAAAAAAGACAAGTCTGCCCACCTTCAAATACCTAACTTTTCTCACATACATCGCATGCAATGTATAGTCAATTAATTGAAGTTTCTTAGAAAGTTTATAATTAATAAATAAAAGTTGCGATGAATTTTAATTACGAATTATTATTTTATTTATCGAAAAAAATATATTTAATATATGAGGGGGGGATATCTTTATTCTAAAGTAGAATAATAAGTCATTATAATGTTTTGTTAATTTTTTTTACTTTTAAATATTAATTAAATATATGATAATTCTTTTAAATTACTAATAATAGTTTACTCAATATAGTTTTACAACTTATCAATATAAATTTTATGATAATTTATATTAAATATAATTGTCTTTTAATTTGCATATAAAATATTAATCTAATATAAACTAATGCACCAACAAATTGAATTATATTATTTCACTTATAAAAAGGATAAATCGTCTGTTTTTTTAAGTTTTATAATTTTGTATAGGTAAAGTATATAAACAATCCCTTGATTATAAGACGTTGTTTTATTGAATCTTCAAACTATTAAAAGTTATAAATTTTATCTCGATTATAAGGTATTGTTTTATTGAGTATCTGACTATTAAAAGTTATAGAATGATCACTCAACTATTCATATGTTTCATACTCATCTTTTTCCGTTAAAAATTGACAATCGTTTGAGCTGGATGTTAATATATTGATCGGGATATGATAAATTCATATTTTAATGATGTATACTGGTATCGCCGTTGCTTTCAAGCACTGGTTTGACAATATAATATTTTAAACATTGGCTCGATGGCATAATATAAACATAGACTCAATCCACAAAATACAACTTAAACAGTTCTAAAATCATATTTGTATCTTATCTCAATGATTAGGTTGAAAGCATAAATGAGTTATAGCTAGAAAGTTGAGTTTGAAGCATGTTATGTAAGTTTTCATGGTAGATTCTTATTAAAATTTATTTAGCATGTTTAAAACCTTATTTATGAGTCCTATGATTCACATGAGACTTAATAACAAGTGGAAAGCCTCAAGGTAGTAAAATTAGGGAGTTTAAGGGACTAATTCGTGCCTAAATAGGGCATGGTTGTAATACCTTAATTTTGTCCGGACAATTTAATTTCATTTAAAGATGACTGAGAAATAATTTGAAGGTGTTGGTGCTCGATGAAGAATTAATTCAAATGATGAAATGTGGAAGTTTGCGTTTGGAAGCTTTAGATGCTCAATTGGAATTGTAATCGTATATGAAAATCGAGACACAAATTGAAATTCAATCCCAAATACAAATTAAGTGTCTAAAGTCCATTTACATCCTCAAGACCCAGATTCAGACCCGGTTTCAAGACCCGACCCGTTTAGCTGCTGCCTCCCACATAAAACCAGTGATCTGTACCCCATACCTCCCACAAAGCACCTGCAAACAAAGTTAACAAAGAATTAATAATCCACCGAAAGTTCAAGCAAATTTCGAGACAAACCGCCAACCTAATCCTGACCTGCTCCAACCATAATTCACCAAATAAAGCAATGAAGAAAAAAAAAGGAAAAAAACAAAGGGATTAGGTGAAGGAAAAAGTTAACAAAGAATTAATAATCCACCGAAAGTTCAAGCAAATTTCGAGACAAACCGCCAACCTAATCCTGACCTGCTCCAACCATAATCACCAAATAAAGCAAGAAGAAAAAAAAGGAAAAAACAAAGGGATTAGGTGAAGGAAAAGCATTACATTTGGAGGACCATTTGAAAAAGGGTTCCATGAGCCATCAAGAACAGAAAAAGATTCACATAGTAGGGGATTTCACGAACATGGGGTTCGGTCAGCAGTACCAGAGAACGATTCCAACAGAGGATTCAAGCAATGAAAGAGAAAGCAATGTAATCAGATTCTTCCCTATCCTATTTCGAAAGCAGTATAACAAGGGTATTCCTCCTTCATTTTAATTAACATAAGCAGTAGCAATTTCTGAAGGGTTTTGGCTTCACTTTTAATTTCTAGTGTGGGTGTGTGTGGGTGTATGAATGGGTCGTTTCGAAACAAAAAAATGAAAAGTTCAAGACGTGCCTTGCATAGTTTGATTTCTCTTTCGAATTAATTTTCGCCATACGGGAGGAGCCGAGAGTCCTTAGGTTCTAAAGGCTTTATATTTCAGTCTTGTGGTTGTTTAAATTTAAAGAAGAGGATAAGTTAGTTTCGTTTTACCTAGCTCTGTTTCAGGTCTTTATTGATTTCGGGAAGTCGAATCTTGCCATGGGGAATAAAGATCGTTCGTTGGGGATTGTTGTCAAGTGTAAGGAAGTCACGAGTAAAGGTTGATATCGTCTAGGTCCTAGGAGAATTCGACTAATGGCGTCGGGTTCCAGAGGTTTCGTTCAAAGCAAATAGAAAGAAGGTTAGAAGAAGTCGTTTAGTTGTATGGTTAGGATAGTGACTTACTCGATCGATTGAAGCTGCCGCCAGCGTATGAGCGTGAACCTTGAGCTTCTTGGCCGAATGTCGAGGGAAGTAGAGAAGATAGTTTTGAGGGATAAGAGGCATGCGGCTGGTGTTTAGGTTTAGTCTAGGTTTAGTTTGAAAAGTAGGTTTTATTTTAAAGTTTTTGGGTAATTTAATTTTTAGTCATTGAAATAAATGGTAAATTAAGTTCTAGGCCCCTTAACATGTTGTTTCGTTACTTTAATCATTGTTTCCCTCCTTTTTAAATCCATATAAATCAATTGTTTTTTTTTGTGTGAGTGCTATGCGTACATGTATATTTGACTCACTTTGTTTTATATTATGCTTTATATAATATGAAATGTATGGCACATGTAATTTCAATATGCATACACTTTCTAAAAATTGCGTAATTCATAAAGTATGTGTTTTCATGTTTACAAAATATTTTTTTTATCAATTTGATTATGACATAATTTTGTTTCTGTTATTATAATTTATTATATCTTTAATTTAAGCATCAACTTGTTTGACTTTGGGTCTAATTTGTTTGACATGAGATGTTTGTCTAATTTGTATGTTAATTTTGTAGCTTTTATATATTATATATATATATATATAAAAGTTGATATTTTCAATTAATTCGTTGCATATGGTTAATGTGTTATATATATATATATATATATATATATATATAATATATAATTTATAATTTCATTTATTATTTCTCACTTTAAATACAAAGCTATGACGTACACATGCAACATGTAATAGCTTTGTATTTAAAGTGAGAAATAATAAATGTAAATTATAAGATGCAGTCATATATATTATATATATTATATATATATATATATATATATATATATATAATTATATATATATATATATATATATAATTTATAATTTACATTTATTATTTCTCACTTTAAATACAAGCTATGACGTACACATGCAACATTATAGCTTTGTATTTAAAGTGAGAATAATAATGTAATTATAAGATGCAGTCATATATATATATATATAACTTATAATTTACATTCATTATTTCTCACTTTAAATACAAAGCTATACATGTTGCATGTGTACGTCATATATATATATATGACGTACACATGCAACATGTATAGCTTGTATTTAAAGTGAGAAATAATAAATGTAAATTATAAGATGCAGTATCATATATATATATATAAAACTATAATTATTATTTTCTCACTTTAAATACAAAGCTATACATGTTGCATGTGTACGTCATATATATATATATATATATATATATGACTGCATCTTATAATTTACATTCATTATTTATCACTTTAAATACAAAGCTATACATGTTGCATGACTGCATCTTATAATTTACATTTTTTATTTCTCACTTTAAATACAAAGCTATACATGTTGCATGTGTACGTTATGATAGTTTATTAAATATTGTAATATGCTCGGTATTTTATTATTTTTATTTTTACTTTATTTTTTATATATTAAAGGTATATATATATATATAACATGGTAATAGTGACTTTGAATTTTTATATATACATGTTGCATGTGTACGTTATGATAGTTTATTAAATATTGTAATATGCTCGGTATTTTATTATTTTTATTTTTACTTTATTTTTATATATTAAAGGTATATATATATATATATCTATATATATAACATGGTAATAGTGACTTTGAATTTTTATTTTTCTTGATTTAACCATTAAATTTATTATATGTGTTAAGGGTTAAATTATTTTATACAATAAAACATGAAATATCTCCTTAACTTGCTAGGAAGGTATTTTAAATGATTATTGGTATAAAATAATATCTTTGATGTTGTTTTAAGGGATCAAAAATCAAATTAAATTCGAATTTATAAAATTTCATTGCAAAGATATTAATTAATCGCTAGGTACCGATTTAGGGCGCTATGGGGGTACTAATCCTTCCTCACACGTAATCGACTCTCGAACTCATTTTCTAGTAACGTATATTTCAATTTGTTGTTTTAATTAAAATTAATTTTTATTTAAAATAATAAAAAAGTTTTTGGGTGTCTAATCACATCCTAATAAAAGATTGATGGTGATTCCTCGAACCGTACGTTTTATTATAAAAAGGAAACTCAAATTTTTTTGAAACGAGAAAGGGCTTTTAAAATCACATTGTTTTTATTTAAAAATCAATCAAAGAAATCAATAACTAAAAATGAAGTGGTTTTTAAAATCTCGCTCGCCCCTCATTTAAAAATTGTTTCGACAGCTATACATGTTGTATATGACTGCATCTTATAATTTACATTTATTATTTCTCACTTTAAATATAAAGCTATATATGTTGCATGTGTACGTTATGATAGTTTATTAAATATTGTAATATGCTCGGTATTTTATTATTTTTATTTTTACTTTATTTTATATATATTAAAGGTATATATATATATAACATGGTAATAGTGACTTTGAATTTTTATATTTTCTTGATTTAACCATTAAATTTATTATATGTGTTAAGGTTAAATTATTTTATACAATAAAACATGAAATATCTCCTTAACTTGTTAGGAAGGTATTTTAAATGATTATTGGTATAAAATAATATCTTTGATGTTGTTTTAAGGGATCAAAAATCAAATTAAATTCGAATTTATAAATTTCATTGCAAAGATATTAATTAATCGACTAGGTACCGATTTAGGGCGCTGTGGGGGTACTAATCCTTCCCCACACGTAACCGACTCCCGAACTCATTTTCTAGTAACGTATACTTCAATTTGTTGTTTTAATTAAAATTAATTTTTATTTAAAATAACAAAAAAGTTTTTGGGTGTCTAATCACATCCTAATAAAAGATTGATGGTGACTCCTCGAACCGTACGTTTTATTATAAAATGGAAACCCAAATTTTTTCGAAACGAGAAAGGGCTTTTAAAATCACATTGTTTTTATTTAAAAATCAATCAAAGAAATCAATAACTAAAAATGACGTGGTTTTTAAAATCTCGCTCGCCCCTCATTTAAAAATTGTTTCGACAGCTTGGCGACTCCGCTGGGGACTTTTTTTAGAGAGTCAGGCCGATAGTCGATTAGTTAATTGTCTTTGCATATGAAAGTTACAAATTCATTCTAATTTGGGTTTTGATCCCTTGTTTGTTTTAAATATATTGTTTGCATTTTAATTGTTAGTTTGATTAATAAATAAATAGTTGTACTAACGTGTGATTTACATGTTTCAGTTTTTTGACCTTCACCTTAGTCTGCTGTTTTTTTGGATCGAGGCAAAGGATTATGAGTTTCCCCTACTGTTGCTATAACCATTCGATACTTGGAGCCTTCTAATTGTGCTCTGTCCCGTTAGGTAGGGGTGAACGCTACGCTTACGTGAGAAAAATTACTTTTCCCATGGGCTTTAGCAAGTAACCCTCAGGGGTACATGCCTTATGTTTACAAGCGAACATTGAGTTTCCTCGCATGGACATAGGGAAATGTATCCTCGAATTGAACTCGATCCGTTTTAACCTATAATAGGTGAGGATCGAGGGTCTGAAAGCCCAATGGGGCACCAACAAGGACAGTTCGAGGACCCTGTTAGTGATACCAATACTCTGCCTGTCTTATGATTGAATCTCCGTCCGCAGAAACATGGGGAACTCATTCTAATCTTTTCCTCGAAGTTATTTTTGCAATAAGTATGAGAACTAGAAAAACATACGGTTAGGATTTTTGTGAATAACAAGCATGTGGGTAGATATCATGTTGGGTAGGATCTACTAAAGCATGATTGGGTAGCCAACATGTGAGGTAGGTTTATTTGATGTTTACGGTATCCACTATCTTGTTGTTTATCTTATGCGCACTAACTCGTTTTTGTTCTCTGTCTTTTATTGTGATTTATTGCATTCGCATCTTCATGTTATCGAGGGGTGTTAATTCACAAGTGATTGACTAATAAGAAGGCTGACCATATTGAGGCAAAAAATTCCCCACCATGTAGTCAAAACCAATAGATCCAGAGATGTTCAAACGATCCATGAAGAAGGGCACTCGATGAATGAAGAGATCTGAAGCTAGTTGGAGAATTCCTTTAAAGGTGCAAAGGCCAAGATGTTGACTCAGAAGATATATATAGCCATACCAAGGACGAGAAGACCATTCATAAAGACATGAAGACCCTTCATAAATACATGAAGACAACTTCGCATTGAATATTCCATGAAGAGTACGGCTCAAGAAATGAAGATATGAAGAATCACAGTTGTATTTTGACTACATGATGTACTTACTGAATTCTTGTTGTCTAAGTGAACTGTTGTTCTATAAGTGGTCACTTTTGGAATTAACACCACGTGCATTTGCATCTGCATTTGCATTCTTATTTTTGCATTTGCTTATTAATTTATTTTGCTATTGTTACTTTTTGTCATTTTGTTACCTTATTTGTACTGACTTGTTTTTACGTTATCTGTATTGCATGATCATGACATAATCAAAATGTGTCAATTTGTGAGTGGTCAATATAGTAAAAGGTTTTCATGATGGACAAGGGGTTTCGTGATCAAGCAGACTATAACACAGATGAGAAATCGCATCCTAAGAAAGCTTCGAGAATAGTGGAAAGATTTGCACCTGAAGATCGCATGGCTGAGGAGGAGCAAAGGGAGATAAGAGAGATAAAAGAGCAGATGTCCAAGATAATGGATAAGATAGATGCTTTGTCCAAAGGAAGTGGGACTTCTACAACAGGACTCGACGAAAGCAACCTTGAGGTGTCAAATATGCAAGAGACTACTTTAGAGCCCGTGATTCTAGCCAGTTTTGAGAAGCCACACACAATCATTGTTCGTATCAACAAGCTGTTTGGAAACGCCAAAGAAATAGTGGCAATTACAGAATTCAGAAGGATGAAAAGAAGCCATGCAATCAGAACTCGTTGGTGTTTAATAGTCTACTCCCCACATCAAGGGCATTTGTAATACCCCAAATTTTGACCAGTGACTAAAATGTAAGTTTTGAAACTTTAATGGCTAAAGTATAGACTTTGAAAAGTATAAAAACCGAAGTTGTAATTTAAAAGTTATATATTTTAGTCTGAAAGTGAATAGTTTGG